GCTTCTGCAATTTCGACTATACATTGAAATGTGACCACCGCGGCCGGCCGGAGTCGAAACTGCGACCTTCTGATCAACAGCCGAGCTAAATAGCCACTGCTACATCGCGGTGAACTCCGCGTACATGTAAGAGTGAAAATAACCCGCTCATCGTTCCTGAAACTTGGGTAATTCCCAGAAAGTCAATTGAAAGATCATATCTAGGTGACGAATGGGGTGGCACTCGGCCATCGCAACTCTTGGCAGCAGCGGCTACCTCGTTACCATGGCGACGCCCTTCTATTCCTTGCAACACAATGCCGCCTAGTGGCAAGGGCGATCGCTGTTCTTCTATTTTCACGTTTCTTACGCAACTTGCGCTACTGCCCTAATAATCTGGTCACTGCCATAGTTAGCCGACGAGTGAGATCATTGCGGGGGGAAGATTGACGTAAAAGGCTGCAAAGGCCGATCTCTCCTCTGTTTCTTTTTTTTTTGTCTTTTCTCTGAAATATAACTCTTTGCCCAATATACCAGAATGCCTGTCAGGTGCGCTCTTCTTCTCCTGACTTATGGCAGTTGTCTCGTCTCTATCAACGACCAACTTTGATGTCATCTACGGTGATGACATACACACTCAAGAAGGTTGACAATCAAAATGATCGTGGTCATTTCTGGACAACTGAGTCGCAGAACGGCGCCGACTATAAGACATAACATGGGTGACGGTTGATTGTTTCCACGTGGGTCGTGTCACGGCTGCTCGTCATGTAACGACCCCTCCAGGGCAGAACTGACTCGCGTAACACGTCGCAGCGTTGGTTCATTGCGAAAGCAATCATTGCATGTTATGATAAAGCGGAAAGTTTGACAAGTAGTGCTAAATTTTTTGTGGCGCTGTTGTCGGTACATTCAACATGGTTCGCCGCTGCGGTATAGCGCTCACAGTGCTCGTTTCCTGAACGAAAGTCGCAAATTTTGAGCCGGACCACTGAGTTCGTATTTCGGGGAAAGCGATATGCCAGAAGACCGGGTACAGTGCAATGTCAGTGCACTCGGCTGCATTTTCGATGGTGGCTAAAATGCTTGAGGCCCGTGTGCAGAGATTTACCCCGCATTCTAGAACGTCCTTCACTCAACGCTTCACCTTCACTTGAGAAAGCCGATGGAAGCGCCATCTCTAAGAACGGCAAGTCACTGCATGTCAGGGATAGTCTGCGGCGATTCTTGAGTACCACAGCGTAATTTTCAGCCAAGCAGTGGCGCACTGCTCAACTCTGTCAAGTCAAGGGTGAAAGTCGAGTCGAGGAGCGTGTGTGAATACGGGGTTAGACGCACGTTAAAGAACCCCAGAAGGTCGGAATTCAAGGAGCCCTCCACTATGGCGTCCCTCGTAATCATATAGGTGGGCTTGGGACGTTGAACCCCGACAGTTATTATTATTACTATACTGTGTACCATTGGACACAGAGCACATTCATGAATTATCGTGGAGATAGCAGCACGAGTTCCTATAAGTCTTATCTATTACTCAGCCTCTTTTCCCCCTTGACTCTATCGACAAAAACGGAAGCACGAGTTCAATTGCTCGACGGCCAACTAAAGCTTATCCAGTTTCGGCATGCGATAAGAAGTCATACAGATTCCTTCCCTTGCACTTCATTAGCTCTCTTTCTTATCTCCAACTGATCACTCCATACACCCAAAACGGATGGTGGCGTAGCCAGACCAAACGATCGTACCACTAATGAAACGTGGAAAGAAATAGTTTGTTGGAGTAGGATCATTACACCATCCAGCAGCTTGAAAGGCTCCAAGTGGGCTGTAAACTGCAATACAGCGGAACATTAGTCAGTATTGAATTTTGTATATCGCACTTGGGGCCTTAAGCGAAAGTTTAAACAATTATTGTCCCAGCGACGATCTTACTATCGGCTTTGGCACATCTAATAAAACTGCTTTTAGATGCTATACAAATTTTATCGGTTTTTACAGACTATTTTGTGGATAGGTTTCAGTGCTGCACATTGGGCTACAGTCTTCCCGTTCTGTATATTTAACAACTAAACGAACAGTATCAATGCATTCACATAAAAGTGGTAGGATTGGTGCATTCCACGTTTCATGACCTCATTAATTTTTGCTGCAATATACAAAATCAAAAGAGTATCATTTCATAGCCTGATTTGGCGGCAGCTATGTGTACCACGTAAAGTGTTCAAAAGTGAAAAGCTCGGGTCAAACAACTTCCCTCGCCTTCTGTTCTCGCGTGTATGTTTTTTCTTTATTTTTTTACTGTGGTACTTCTTGTTATTGTTAAAACTTGATAACAGAGGCTCAGAGAGCGATGCATTTTATCCATCAACATGTTGCGCTTGTCAGCTTATTTTATCTCTATTTACTCTGTGTGTTCAGGTTTTCTGTGTTTGTGTTATGTCTGTGTTGTCGTCGGCCCATAGACGTACGCGTTGGTCGCGGTAGTCCAAAAAGCTTAGACAGCCTCGAACGGTTAAAACAAGTTTATTCCTATTCGGATGGAGGCGGCGGCCGAACTGCCGGGGGAAACGACGGTGGCTCGTTTTCGCCGAGCGGGGAAGGGAGAGTCAACATCTGGAAGCAGTTTCAGCAACCGGTCCTTCGCGGGTTCGGAGCGCTCGTGACACAGGGGTGCTTGGAACACAACATCTCCTCCCTCCTTAGCTTGTCGCTTGGAAGCAATCTGGGGGCCGCCATGGGCGCGTGGACGCTCTGGACGCACTAGGAAGAAGCCTCCGCTCGCTGGGTGTCGTTCCTCTTGTGTTCAGGGCCGGCGGGCGGCGGGACGGCGACGGCGCCGATTCATCTGGTGCGAGATGCCAGGCTAAGTGGAACGAAGCTTCCGTCGAGGTGGCTGCTTGAATGGGAGGTTCCCTTGGCAAATTACCTAAACGGCGTAGCTGATTAAGGTGGCGGCGTGTGGCCCTTCCACCATGTCGACGAGCCATGACCGCAAACCTATGCGTTTGAGTGCCGTCGCTTCAACCCAGCCGGGCTTTCTGTGGAACTGGCGGGCGTATATGCGCTGTCCACTTTCAATTCTCCTGCTATGCGGGAGCTTTTCTTCCTCCGACGGTGCTTTCGCTGAGGCTCCGGGACAATTGCTGTCAGCTGGGTTCTCATTTCTCGTCCGAACATCAATTTCGCTGGCGTTTGATCAGTAGTGCTTTGAACAGTGTTGTGCTGTCTGAAGAGAAAGCGCGCGATGCGGCGTTGCATTGTCCCAGTCCTGGTCTTTAGTAAGGGCGCGCTTTAGCTCAGCCACGTAGCGCTCGGCTTGTCCGTTCGTAGCCGGGTGGTAAGGAGCTGATGTAACAGACGAGACGCCGTTGTCGCTGTAAAACTTGAGAATCTCCGTGGACACAAACGGAGTGCCGTTGTCCGAGACCACCTTGCGCGGTAGGCCAAACGTTGCAAACAACGACCGCAGAGGTGTCGATAACTGCTGCGATGTCATTGTAAGCCATTTGTGTTTACCTCCAGCCACTTGGTGTATGCGTCTACAACCACCAGGAACGAACACCCTTCGATAGGTCCAGCAAAATCAATGTGCAGGGTGTGCCAAGGCGTGTCTGGTCTTTCCCATTCAGGAATAGGAGCTCTTGGCGGGCTTCTGGTTGCATTGGCAAGGCTGGAATCGTGGACTGTAACGGCGTTTAAGTCATATAGTGCCGATGACGTTAGTGCTGTTCGGCTTGTATCTTGCGTCTGGCATTCCTGTGCGTCGACATTGTTGTTCCGTTGCACTGAAGTCTTCGGTCCGAGCTGTTACGCTTCGAGATGCATGCCTTTTCAATGTGTCACAGTTTTTGGCAAAAATTGCAGGTCGCTGTCTTGTATTGACATACCTGTGGATCGTGCATTGTCGTCGCATCGCCAACAGCGCTGTGTTTTTCTGCTTGATTTCGCCTTAGACGTGGAATGACCTGACTGCTGGCTGGTGTGATGCACCGGCTCGACGTTCCGTCGAATATCCCTTTGCTGGTGACCGGGCGCTCTCCGCTCGTTGGGCGATGTCGTAGGCTTTCGAGAAGGTGAGACCCGTCTCCGCGAACAGTGCGTTGTTGTAGGCCTGTGTCACGTAGTCCGCACACAAAACGGTCACGCAACATAACGTCCAAGGGGAGCATAGTGGTGTTAGCAGGTGTGGCAGTCGATCCTCCCTCCTGCGCAGTAGATGCAGAGTTCGCGGTCAACGTCTCGAAATTGCAGTCAGCAGCGAGCTTTTTGAGAGCCGCTACGTATTCGGCCACTTTTTCGCCTTCCAGTTGGTCTCGCCGTTGGAAGCGGGCTCGACAGCAGACCTCCGATGGCCTTGGGTCATAGTGCTCTTGTAGCGCTGCTACGATGTCGTCGTAGTCAACGGCTGCTGGAGTGCGTGGCTGAATCAGGGCACAGACTGTGTCGTATGTCTGCTGCCCACACAGCGTTAGCAGGTTGGCCCTCTTCATTGCTGCATCAGTGATGTTGTTAGCCTCGAAGTAAAATTGCAGGCGTCCAAACCACGATGACCTTGATGAGCCGTTGAATTCGGGTAGCCGATTTGGGAGCCCGTGCGTAGCCATAGCTTGTAGCTTGTCAATATCGTTGCGTAGCGTTGGTCCAAATCCCATCCTCGTCGCCACTGTTATGTCCGGTGTTGTCGTCGGCCCATAGACGTACGCGTTGGTCGCGGTAGTCCAAAAAGCTTAGACAGCCTCGAACGGCTAAAACAAGTTTATTCCTATTCGTATGGAGGCGGCGGCCGAACTGCCGGGGGAAACGACGGTGGCTCGTTTTGCCCGAGCTGGGGAAGGGGAGAGTCAACATCTGAAAGCAGTTTCAGCAACCGGTCCTTCGCGGTTCGGAGCGCTCGTGACACAGGGGTGCTTGGAACACAACAGTTTGCAAGTCAAATAATAACAATAACCATAACAATCATTCCTTGTTATATATTTCCTGTTCATAAATAATTGCAACCTAGTGTTTCTTTGTTTTTTCTATAGTTATCGAAGAACTTCCGGGATGGACCCCACAGATGCCACACGCAGAGCCATTACTTTTCCTGGCCGGCTGCTCCTAGCCGTGCTGCTGGTATTCGGACTCTTCGCGACGCAAGAAGCAAGTGCGATGGTGGGCTTCACCATGACGCAGGGAACCCAGGATGGCACGTACATTCGCTTCAACCGAGTGCCAACGAACATGATCGCGGATGTCACCAAAGAGCTCGGAGCCTTCCGGTTAGTGTTTCTTTATTATCAATATTGTCAAGATAACCATCATCAGTTTGACTACGCCCACTACTGGGCAAAAGCCTCTCCCATGATCCGCCAACCAATCCGGTCTTGCGCTTTCTGCTGCCAAGTTGTACCTGCGAACTTTTTAATCTCGTCGGCCCACCTAACTTTCTGTCTTCCATTCGCGCGTTTACCTTCTCCGAGAATCCGGTCATTTACCCTTAATTACCAGTGGTTATCCTGCCTACATGCTACGCGCCCGACCCATGTTCATTTCTCCGTGATTTCAGCAATGATATCATTGACCTCGATTTGTTCCCTGACCCATTCTGTTCCCTTCTTGGCTGTTAAGGTTATGCCTATCATTTTCCTTTCCATCACTCGCTGCGTCGTCCTCAATTTAAGCTGAACCCTCATTGTAATCCTCTAGGTTTATGCTTCGTAGGTAAGTACCGGCAAGATGCAGCTTTTATATATCTTCCTCTTGAGGGCTAATGGTAGGTTACAACTCATGATTTGAGAATGCTTGCCGAATTAGATCCAGCCTATCTTTATTCTTCTAATTATTTCACTGTCATGTTTCGGCTACGTGGTCACTACCTGTCCTAGTAGACGTATTCCTTCACAACTTCCAGCGTCTCTTCACCAATCGCAAAGCGCTGGTTTCTGCCAAGATTTTTGCTGATTACTTTAATTTTGTACATAATATCTTCAGACCAACTCCACTGCTTTCTGTGTTCAGTACTCTAATCATGAGCGGTAATTCATCTCTTGAGTACTCATTCAGGCAATGTCATCAGAGAACCGCAGGTTACTAAGATACTCTCCATTAACTCTTATCTCTAACTCTTCCCAATCTAGGGTCCTGAAAACCTCCTGTAAATACATGATCAATAGCGTTGGATAAAATGTGTCTCCGTGCCTTACACCCGTCTTTACTGGGATTCGGTCGCTTTCTTTATATATAACTATGGTGGCTGTAGATCCACTGTAGATTTCTTCGAGTATGCCTATGTAGGGCTCGTCGGTGCCCTGATTCCGTAGTGCCTGCATCACTGATGATGTCTCGACTGAGTCAAACGCCTTCTTGTAATCTATGAACGCTATGTTATAGATTTTGGTTGTATTCCGCACATTTCTTATCACCTGGTGATAGAAATGGAATATTGTATATTGTGGAGTATCATGCGCCAAAATCCTGCTGGTCCTTTTTTTGACAGAACTCTAATGTCCCTTTAACTATATCAGCTATTATTTTTGTCAATAGTTTGTAGAGAACGGACAGTAAGCAGATTGGCCTATAATGTTCCATGTCCTTGACGTCTCCTTTCTTATGAATTAATATGGTGTTGGTGTTCTTCCAAGATTCTGGTACCTTTCTTATCAAGAGACACTTCGAGTATAAGGTGGTCAGTATTTCTAACACAATTTCTCTGCCATATTTCAGCGGGTCCGTTGTTACCTTATCCTCACCAGCGGCTTTCCCTCTTTGCATTCTTTCTAGAGCTTTCCTTATTTCCCCTGTCGTTAATCGCCGGATGTCGAATTTCTCTGGGCTATTATTTCTTCTCACGATATCATTCTGGTTCTTTCGGCTTCTGTACAGCTCCCTATAAAATTCCTCGGTCACCTCAACTATCCTATCCATATTGGTTATGACGTTGCCTTCCTTGTCCCTCAATGTATACATCTGATTTTTGCCTATGCAAACGTTTGCCTGTGCAGCTTTCAAGCTTCTGCCACTTCTTTAAGCCTGCTATATTCTCTCTATGTTATACGTTGTGATGTCAGCTATTTTACGCCTATTTATTAACTTCGAAAGCTTAACTAGCTCTATTTTGTCGGTTGCATTTGAGGTTTTCATGATTTCTCATCTCATAATAAGATTTTTCATATCCAGAGATACTTTGCTTATGTCCCGTCTAGTGACTGTACCTCCGACTTCATTGCTCACTCTTTGATCAGTAAGATTATGGTTCATTATGTCAACGCTTACGCCGTTTACGTCGTTTAGAGCAGCGAATCTATTCTGAAACGAAACTTTGAATTCCTGTACTTTCCCTCTCACCACTAGCTGACTGCTTGGCTTCTTGCATGTCAGTTTATGGGTTTTCTTTTTTTTAATTAGGTGAATACGAGCTTTTACCATTATATGGTCACTGCATCTGATCTTGCTAAATACTTCTACATCATCTACAATGCCTGAGCGTGCACACAGAATAAAATGTATATCAAGTTTAGTTTCGCCATTAGGACTTCGACACGTCCACTTACGGTTGGCTTGTTTTCTGAAGAAGGTATTCAAGATCCTTAAATTATTATGTTCTAGAAAATTTATTAACTGTTTATTTATTGTATATAAGATTATACAATTTTTGGTGCCTGCATAGAACGCCGGCTGGTCGTTTTTTATGGGAAATATAACTTGTCAAGTTCAAATACATAACAGAAAGTGAATACAATGTCACTTAGTCATATCTGTTTAAAGTTTCAATCGTCATAAAAAATTACATAGGACCAATGTGCATTTCCAAATTACGATAAAGCTGAAACAGAAAAGAATGCAATCAGACCCGGAATGCATTGACATAATGCTGCTCAAGTTCAAAGTTTCGTCGCATAATAACAATACGTTAGACGTTATACCACAGACAACATACATAAAGAACGTTAATTCATATTTTATATGATGCAAAGGTTGATCCGCCAGGGCTTCTGAAAGTAATACCTAAAAGTAGAACGAAATTTTAGGTTTACAGCTACAATCTCAAGTAAGGTCTAAATCGTGTAAACTTATGCAAGTTGGGGACATGGGATGCGGTCTCATCTAGTGCGAGGACCAAGGGACGACTTTCAGCTCTCCCATAGTAGAGTACCGAGTACCGTAATTCCTGAACCACTTTCTTCTAAACACATTTGCGCTATTGCAAAAGAAGTAGCATATATTTATTGATTTTAAGTGGTGTACTGGCTTCCTGCTCAATCAACAAAGTTAAGAATTTTGCTTGCATTGATATCACCATGATTAACAACCGCACACTTGCGCGCAGGCATACTTTTCTCACATATATATGTAATTCTTATTAAACATTCTTGAAAGTCAGTGCTCTACCTCTGTGATCTTCGTCAGTCTTTGTATACAGCACTGTTTTTACACACACTGAAGTAAGGGTTCAGGATCAAATGTGACCGTTAGAACATGTTTAACGTATACGCAAAATACTTAAAAACGAGCACTATCTTAATGGCCTCCCACCGTTCCACGGTCTTCGCAGCTTAGAATGAAACCTGTGAATTCACGCTCTACATCACGTCACAGCCTTTGAGCCGCTGTAGTAGAATTGAGTCTCTAAAGAAAAAGGTGGAGCCTGAAAACATGCTGCACCTGTAGTCGTTAACTGTCGCGAACGCCTTCTAGTACCACGTGGTAATCGCAAGAGTGGTTTGAGATGGCCACGGCAGTGAGGAAACCATTTAGCCCGTCCTCTGTCACTGTTCTTGAGGTAGTAACACTTGGCAGTGTCAGTCGGCACTCCTCGGTGATCAATCACTATCCGAGAATTCAATCCTGAAAGGCTTTAGCTTCACACCAGAATGGGATGAAAAGTAACGGCGTAAGTTTCTACGAGATTGATTGATTGATTGATTGATTGATTGATTGATTTGTGGGGCTTAACGTCCCAAAACCACCATTTGATTATGAGAGACGCCGTAGTGGAGGACTCCGGAAATTTCGACCACCCGGGGTTCTTTAACGTGCACCCAAATCTGAGTACACGGGCCTACAACATTTCCGCCTCCAAAGTTTCTACGAGAGGTCACGAGTGACATTTCCGCAGTTTCGTGAATGTGTGTGTTACGTTAACATCTTTTTTTTTATTGCGCGTGTTACGTTACTCTGTTTTTCTCTATATTTGTTCTTATTCATTTCTTCGTCATCTTCCTGTATCCCCTTGCCATTCCGGGTCACAAAATAGCAACCTGTAATTTATCCTCCAGCATCCTCCTCTCATTTAGCATATGTATCATCATCATCTCTCTTTCTCTCGCTCCTTCTCTCTTTGTTTTCAGTTCTGAAATTTATTTGCGTATTTCTAAGTTATTGATGTTTTTTCCTCGCCACGTACGCACAGGTGCTCGCAGCCCGGCCTATACTACTTCTCATTCACCGCCATGGCACCGAGCCAAGGGTCGTGCCGCATATCGCTGCGGAAAAACCGCGTCCCTATCGTGACCGCGTTCGCCAGCAACAGCGGTTTCAGCTGGATTTCCAGCGGGGCCGTGCTGTACCTGTCCCAAGGTGACGTCGTCTACCCTTACGTGGAAGACGGAGCCATCCACGAGTCGTCGGCCCCGAACAGGGCCTTCACCTCCTTCTCCGGCTTCACAGTCAGCACAGACTCGCTCATGGCACGCAATGGTCCTGTAGTCGATGCCACTGAGGGACCGCTAACGTCACCGGACCCGTACGACGACATCGAAGAGCGCATGTATCGAGTGGAGCTCGCTAAGAACGCCACAAAATCTGCCTAACATTTCACTGCCACGCCGTTTTCGTCTAAGAATTTTTTTTAGTTCATCTTGTACCTGTCGCTCCATTTTTCCTCTCATTCATGTTCAGGTTATATTTATTATGTCATAATTAAGAATGAAGCACTCTTCAAGACTCTTTGGTCATGATTCTGGTAGAGTCAAGATAATAGCGGCGAAAGATCTTGCCACGTTGCGTGCTCGACATTACCAGCCGTTGGGGACACAATTGCTCCTAATCACCATTTTCGCATGCTTCAAATGGTGAAACCTGCTAAAGCTCATCCTTTAAATAAACTGTTGCTGTCATTTGGCTTGTGTGTGGCTGCCCTCTTGTTTCGCACGCTAATATACGCGGCGTTCCTTTGCCGCATACATATTATATGACATATGGACTATATGTCAGTGAGTCAGTACAGAAACTAAGGCTGGTTTTTTGTACGGTTTTCATAACACCATGAACTTTTGCTCATCGTAGCTCTGAGCTTGTTGGTCGCACTCTGCTGCCGGCGCAAGTGTATTTCAAAACAGTCCGTCATAGGGGAAGTGCAGTGAACGTGGTTACAACAAAAGCATGCAGGCTATGTATACATGCAGCGATGGAGTGATGACATATTCCACTGTGGTGCATCAAATTTTTTCCCCTAAAATTGATTTCTTTTTTATGAACATGCTCGCACGTGTAGAATTATGTACAATTAAAAATGACGCAACACACACAAAAAACGAGAATTACACCACGTATATGCCGTTCCAGGTCTCCGAAGACGTAAGGATGTTGCGGACAAGTAACCACGACCCCTCGGCGGCATTGACAACAGAAGGCACGCAAACATGCATGCTTACTGAAACAGAGAGACAAATAAACGTCGTTTGACCAGTTTTTTTTTTTTTAATGAGCCCCGAAAAAGCCCGTTCAAACAAATTAAAGCTTACTTCTATTCCTGTCTCTCGCTGAATTGAAATCGCTCGTTCGATGATACAATGCCTCGCAATTGTATCCCACGAACGCATTTAAATTGACAGCATTTTCATTCTGTGCTCATCACGTTGCTTATATACGCGAGACGTAAGGATTAAAATACGTAGTCAGACACAGAGTGTCTACGGTATTGGATGTTATTCGAGAAAGGTTTCGCTATTACATACGTCACCAAGTCTGTCTCAGTGGTGCAGTGCTTGAGATGCTTAGCTGCTGAGCTAAAGGTTGCGGGTTCGATCCCGAAAGTGGCGATCGAATAATCGATAGAGACAAAATGCTGGATTTTCGCGTACTCTGCAATATCAGTGCACGTGAGGCTCATTAGATTGTCAAAGTTTCCTCTGTATCGGTCACTTTTTATGCAAATGCTACTGGAACACCGTCCTCGCCTTTTGCCGGCTCAAAGAGCAGTCAAAGCTGTCTTGTGCGTTTTTAGGACTACTGGCCTATGTGAACACCTTTAACTTTTATGTAGCGCCGCCGCTGCATGCGCGTCAGCCCATTGACTGACAATCTTTTTTTTTTTCTTTTGCGGAAATGTTGTAGGCCCGTGTACTCAGATTTGGGTGCACGTTAAAGAACCCCACGTGGTCGAAATTTCCGGAGCCCTCCACTACGGCGTCTCTCATAATCATATAGTGGTTTTGGGACGTTAAACCCCACAAATCAATCAATCATGAAAATCCTTTTTTTTTCCTCTTTCTCTTCTCTTTCCTCTCTCTCTCCCTCTCTCATCTTTATGCCCCCCTTCCCAATCCTACAGCGTAGGGTAGCAAACCGGGCATGTGCCTGCTTAACTTTCCTGCCTTCTTTCTTGTTGTTCTTGTCCTCCTCCTCTTCCTGAACTCTCCGCTAAGGCGTGCCTCATATTCATATTGAGATTCTGGAGCGTAAAACCCCAGGTTATATGGAATGACGTCAGTAACTGGGATTTTGACTTTTCTGTTTCTTGCTAACCACAAACAAGCATGGCCGGACTTTCCTCTTCGAGATCGTACATCAGACGTTTCTCAGAACTCAGCGCCGGACTTCGAAACAGGACGAGGTCTGCGATTTCCCGCTAAGTTTATTTGCATTCGAACTGAAGCTGTTCACAAGAATTGTTTAATTGAATTGCCTAATCCTTCTGTGACAAGCATGGAACGGTGGTCCTCGCTTACTGAGGCGTCTAATTAGTCGTCCAAGGACGCTTGTTCGCTAGTAACAGGAATCGATTCGCCCCAGCGCTTTCACTCACACGTGCACTGCAAACACTTGGCGAAGGTTCACTGTGATTAATAATTATTATAACAATAAGGGTGCGACTGATTTCCAATCAGCACACTTCAACACAAATGGCTTTCTTTTTCTTTTTTTTTCGTCTCCGCGCTAAAACTTTTGTTCTGACTTCCCGGTCTTTTTTTATTTCTATCTTTCTTAATAATTTATTAACCTGTTTAATTAAGTCTTTTTTTTCTTTCTTGCTTGCTTTGTTTAATTACATATTTATTTATTATATATTTATTTATTTATTTATTCTTTTCGTTTTTTCTTTCTATTATATATTCATAATACCATCGATGTTTATTCAGCCAGACTTTTTTTCTGAATGAGGCCTAACTATGTTACGTGTACATTCCCGCGATCATGTTTGAACTCGCATTATATGTTTTCTTCATTGAGGAATACTGCTGCTTTTGCTTAGACAGAAACTTCTTCATTAGACGTGTCATTCATAAACCACAAAACACGACAAAACCCATAATCGCGGTCAAGCAATATACAAAATAGTTACGCTTTTACGAGGAATGAACGAATGAAAGAAACATTTATTGTCCCGAAACAGTGTTCTGAGCTCGTGAGCTCAAAGTCACCCAATGTGGGAAGGTCCCTCATTCCAGGAATCCTCTATCGCCTCCTGGGCCCTGGCAACGACTTCTCGTTGGTCGTATAGGTCCCGTGCGGCGATCTTTAACTTTCACGTCTCAGCCAGGGGGTTGATACGTGTGGTCGTTGCGGGCTTGGTATTGCAATCTTCGTGGCGCCATGGGCACTGGAGTATTACGTGTGCCAGTGTATCAGGCACGTCGCATTTTGGGCAATTGTAGGCGTATAGCGTTGGGTAGGTTCGATGCAGTAGGATGCCGTGCGTGTATACGTGTTACTTCGCAGTCTTCGAGATGCTGTGGCTTCTTCTTTAGTCAGCTTGGAGTGAGGTGGCGGGTACACCCTGCGAGTTAGGCGACAGTTCTCTAGTATGGTGTTATATGCGTGTGCTATGGTTTCCACTTCTGCTGCAGCGCTGGCTAACGGCGAATGGAGTGAGGTGGAGTGAGCCGAGGGAGGGCCGGTCGGCGTGACCGCGGTCCGTGGTGTAAGCCGCTTGGTTTCCCTCGAGCTCCTC